TGATAAAGCTGACAATTTGGTATGGATTTGAGTGTTGGGTATTAAAGATTTTATTGATCTCTAAGGTGAGCATTATAAAAATGAGAATTTTACTATGAATATATGATAAAATTAATGATTAATTAATGAATAATTATATTAGTAGAACAATTACAATGATATCTTTTTTTTTTTTTTTTTAAATTACAATGATATCTTTTGAAGATAAGATAATTGAAAGTTGATATATGTGGTGTGGAATACAAAAGATGATAAAAAATGGTAAAAAATGCACCTATTAGACGAGCAAATAAAGTTAGTATCATAGGATTATAAATGATAAAGGTTGACTATATAGGATAATATGGATAGAAATTATTTGAAATAATATGCAAAAATAAAGTGTTACTCGTTGATGCGTCCAAGGTTTGAAATTGAGCAATCTTTTATTGAGATGTATTCTTTTTGTGAAACGAGACATGAGCTTTACAAGATTTTGAGGTATAAGCTTTATATATAAATCATTAAATTAATGAAATATATGAAATAATAAGTAACATATTAACAACGAAGTAAGGCACAAATGAAAGTAAGTCAAACTAAGAACATTAAAACTCATACAAAGCTACAGGCACTAAATATTAAGTCTGTCTCACTCCCAATTCAACATTAATAGTCTAAGATCATAATTTATGAATTGAGAAATCCCTTCCACACTTGGAATTATCATTGTAGTTAATTATTTTCTATTGTCAATCATCCTCAGTTATGCAAATTGCCCTCATCTTTACTTGTGTTGTTCTTGCTATTACTTCATCATAGGAGTCAAATATTGAGATCTTGCTTTTATAATTGTGATGGTTTAAATTCATTTCATTCTCCTCAAATTATTTGTTATATGATGACAGGCTGTTACTAAGTAATAGACCTTTATTATCCTTTTAATTTTTTTCTTTTAATGTTTATATTTTAATATCTTTTCATACTTAATGTAGACCAAGGAACTTATTCTCAAGGTAGTCAAACAGTTTTTTCTCTCAATGTGAGCTTAGTTATAAGTACTCCAATTTTGTTCACATCACGATGACAAGCATGTATGATCTATTATTTTGATTTCAAAACTTTGTAATTTTGGAGTGCCATCTCTGAATTAAATATACCACTATTGATTTAAAAGGAAATTATGATTAGCACTGTATATAAATTTAAAATTATTTATTTAGTAAATGTTAAAATTTATCAAGGAAAGTCAGTTGTAGTATATTTGGTTTGTTGTTATTTTAAGAATCCTTGTCTGTTTTTAAATGCTAAAAGTTGGAAATCAACTTTCACCCTCTATGTTGAGTAAACAATCAATCTATCCATACAATCATATAAACCAAATTTGATTTTTAGATTGGTGGATTTACTATTAACATATTGATATTGAGGATTTAGATAATATTTAGTGGTTTGGAAATATTGATATAGTTGAATCTCTTTTTCCTCATCCATAATTTCCCAATTTTTCATTGTAGTTGCACTCATCGCTCCCTGTCTTTTGTTATCTACTCATTTATCTTATCCATGCTTAATAAATGAAACTCATATCAAACTTTTTTCTTGACACCAACTATTTTTCAAATATCAATGATGAGTTTAGTAGTCATGATAGTGTAAGTTATAATTAACCAAAACATATCACTCAAAATAATCTTCCTTACTTTTTTACATTCAGGTTTTTGGTGCAAGTACAATTAAAGTACTATGCGGAGGTAAACGCAGCCTTCAAAAGTTTTTTTTGGTTGCTTTGTAAAGTACATTGTAACAAATCTGACTGCTGTGGGTCTAATAAGTTCTTTCTTAAAGGGCTCAGTTGTGATTGTAATTAAACTTTCTATTTCTTTTGCCTTTAGTCAAAACCTTCTTATGCTAAGGCAATGCCCCGATTTCTTCAAAAATTGAATCGGTGTTATATGCCGTCTCAACAATATGGTTTCTCATCGTCATCAATTTATTTCTTACTTATGAGCACATGCATTATCAGTAATTACTTTTACTACTATATACCCTCTAATCTCTTCTATAACTTCCTACCAATTTATCTGAAATACTTTTTTCATCATTCATCACTCACCTGATCCAATACTTTAATAAACTTTAAAACGACAGTGCTATAAGAGTTTTTTATTAGAATATTGATCAAGCTTATATTTTAAACATCCAACCAACCATTTGGTATGATTGTAACTCTAATTTGTTACCATGTTCTCTCGAATTTTCTTAATAATTATTGCATTAGTATTCAATTCCTCCAATTTCAGAGTCCCAAGCTCATAGAAGGAAGGAGGTTTAAGGCCTTTACCTTATGAACCTATATTATGAATTTTTTTGAATAAGATGTACAAGTTGTCACATTAAATAGCATTGCATTCTCAAAGAAAAGTCTTACAATATCCATATAGACACGCTTATGAGCGTCTCCTGCTTTTTGTGGAGACATTCAATGAGATACCATTGCACCATTATTCTTTTCATCCTCTGCTTTCATATTTATTATCTATAGGCTCCTAACATCTATATTGGAGAAGAGCACTCTTTGTCATTAGGCCCATTATCATGATCGCCTATTAACTCTATCATTAAATTATAATTGTGCTAAATGCTTTAATATGATCACTTTATTCAGATAAGCACGATCTACTGTAACTAAAAAATATATTCTCTTATTTTTTTTTAAAATCTTATGTAACCATTTTATTATAATAATTATATTGCCTAGTAATGTAAGTGTTCTCAATTCATGTAGTTTGTAGCTAATCAGTATACTTCCATGCTAGGTTTTTTCAATTTAATAGTAAATTCTTTTTAGAACATCTTATTCGAAAATAATCCCAAAATGAAAATTTCATTCAAAATATAGAAAATCTCATTCCAAATAAAGAATAAGCAAATGATCATAGAAAACAAAATATTCTAAATACAGAAAGAAATAAGTGTAAAGAACCCAAGTCAAGTAAAAAATGGTCCACCGTCAACAAGGCACAGTAGGTTCAGGTGCAGCTACAACAGTTCCAATGTGTATGGCCAGGTCGTGCGGTTCGTAAGGCTTGCATGCTCTCAATTTGCTTTAGACTAAAAAAATAGGCTTAATTTGACATATTAGTTTTATACATTAAAAGATTTAAATAACCTAAGCCCTTGTCGGCGTCTTACGCCTCCTTCAAATGGTGCTGAGTCACGCCTTACCCCCGCTGAGGCATACACCTCGGCCGGCACTCATGAGGCGCACACCTCATTGCTTTTTTGTGTGTACAGATGGCTGAGATGCTCCTCAAATTACACAGTTTTAAATTTTGGTTGCGCCCTCGATCACTAAACAAGATCCAATGAAACCTGAGGTTTCATAAAGCCGCTTTGAATGGTTGTGATAAAGCTAAGAATGATTTTATTACTGATGCAACATGCAGTTTGCATGCACTCTGAGGAAAGGGAGCTGTGAACTACATAAAATTTGAACGTGAATTTTTATTGGAAAGGTGTTGAAGTGGTTTCATGCAATGCAATGTTTGAAAATATGATGTGGGTGCTTAGATATGTGGTGGGTCGAGGAAGCTTGTAACCCCGAAATAAATTAAGGGCCATTTACATAAATACCACCCAGTTCTTATTTATTTACATATCTAACTCCCGAACTTTAATTTCTTACATTTATACCACCTAAGTTTTTCATATCACAAAAAATACCGTCATTTTAACTTTCAAAAGGTGAAATACACCTTGTCATGCGTAGGAAAGATGGAATGCATGTAATAATTGAAGTTTAGATGTTAGATATGTAAAAACATGAGCATGGATGGTTATGTATGTAAATTTTCCATAAATTAAATGACAGCAATAGTAAGAGAAGGGTTGGTGGTGTTAATTATTATTAACAATTCCTGACAAGCAGTTTCCCGAACTTTAAAAGGAAATTGGAGTGCATAGTAGTAGAACGAGACATTATCTCTTGTGCTTTTTTCATAAGTTTGCCAAGATATTAGATATAGATGATGACAAATGTTTAGCATCCTTTGAGTGGAAAAAGAACTAGAGGTAAAATATAAATTGAAGGTGTAGAACTCGTGATAAGAGGTAATAGTGTAAGTTATATAAAATTGTGTTCCAAAGCAGTTATATTTTTGCTTATTGTTGATAGCAGATTCTAAAATGTACCAAAACTTTTTGGAGCAATAGCAATAAGAGAAGACTCTAAGGACAGTAAATGTAGTTGACAGGCTGCTTTTTTTTTGTTTTGTTTGTTTGTTTGTTTGTTTGTTTGGTTCTATCTATATATATATATATATGCGTGTGTAGGTTGGGTCTCGTTATAAATGTAATGGATAAATATAACAAGGACAATATAATAGTGAGGTTGGGGAATTGCAAGGTGAATGTATGCAAAGATAGAGTGTTTGAGATTTATGCAATTTGCAAATGGAAGATGGTGCTTTTGTCATTACAAAGGTTTTTTCTGGATGTCCGGGATTAAATGAAACAGTACGAAACACTTTCATAGACGTACAGATTAGTTAGTTTAACAGTTTATCAAATCATTTTGAGCAATGGAAATTTAGTAATTTTTTTTTTTTTTTTATGTTTTTCTTATACCAACCGGTTTTTCTTTTATTTGTTACTTGCCACTTTTTTACAATGGGTAATTAACTTTTTTATGTATATATGTTGGACTTCCTTCTGCAGTGCTTTTATGTTTAACTATTTTTTTATGAGTGAGTCTTATTTGCATGCTTAGAGCTCCATGTTCCCCTCGTCTACATGTCAAGTTCAAAAGATTTTTATACTGTAGATCAGTCTATATTTTGTAAATATTGATTTATGCTTATGCCGGGACAAACTTTGTTTATAAAGCAATGATTTTTTTGGAGTTTTGTGATCAGTTTACAGGTAGGTTTACGTGTACTTAGCTGTTAAGTAAAGCTTTGTAATTCTGCTGTTCATTGTTCTTTTTCCATTTATTATTTTTTTAATTTTTTCTTAAGAAGGTTATTAAGGAAGAAAAAGATCAACGTAAAGGGATGGACTATTTGGAGCTTAAACAGGTTGTGCTCTTAATTTATTGCCAAACAATATGCTTTTATCTTCTCCTCAAGTCAGAGGGTCATCCTGTTCGAGATCATCCAGTGATTGCTCGGCTTGTGGAGATAAAAAATCTTTTGGAGAAGGTTAGTACTATAACTTCCTGCAAAATATTTACTCAGTTCTGTATTTATCAGGCCTATGTAGTTAACGTCTTTGTAGTTCTTTATTTCTCCCCCAAAAAAAGCTTTTTGATGTATATTTTACTGACAGATGAGTCAGATTAGTTCGAGATTCCCCTCACAATCTGGAGATGTTGACAGTCATACTTATTCCACAAATAAGTCTGATGAAGAGAATGTCTCATTGGAACTAGAACCTGATGTGGTAGATATGTCTGCTAAAGCATCAACAGTAACGTTTCTTTCTCTTCTACTTTCAAATTTAAGTGTAATTGACCGCTCCTCTTATAAGTTATTGTAATGTTGGGGCATTTACATGCGTACTACCCAATTCCTATGTATTTGCATATTTAACACCAAAACTTTCATTTTTACATTTATACCACCCAAATCTTTTATATCATATTAAAAATACCACCTTTTTAACTTTTAAGGTGCTACATATTTAAAAATTGAAGTTTAGGTGTTAGATATGTAAATACTTAAGAATTGAGTGGGATGTATGTAAATCTTCCTTTATTTTAATGTTTCAGGTCTCAGAGATTACTGGATTATTAAAGGATAGTTCTGTGGATGTTGACAGCAAAACGACTACCAAAAAGCTTCAGGTTTAGCGAAATGTTGAACTTGCTCGATTCAGTTTTTATTTTAATTTGGACGGCAAATTGTGATGATAACCGAACTTAACAGGATTCTCAACTAGATCTAAAAAGCATTCAGATGATGAAAATTAGGGAAAATCTTGAGTTGAAGTTGAAGCAGAAAGGTATATATACTCACATTCAGGGGAAGGTTGACAATTCTCTGAAGGATTTAACAAAGCCTATTAACGGGTATGTCTTTAACTATAAGGTTGGTTCTGCAGGATGTAAATTTACTCTTTCCTATATCTTAATGTACTGCACCCAGTTTTTGTTTTGATTTTTTTTCCTTCTGTGAATAATTCATTGTTTGAACAGGAACCATGTAATAAAAAAAGATTTTGATGTTGAGGTTACCCAAGCGAAACAGCATGGTCCAGATAATAGTCACCAGGGTGTAAACAAACTTGCACAAGCTGTTGTTAGTAAAGCACAGAAATGGAAGGTAGTTACTAAACAGCATGCATAAACTGACGTTAGTTTTTTTTTTCTGTTATTCTTATTTTGTCCTTTTAAAATTTCTTGTCTAATTGTGTTGAGTTTAGTAGGATATTCCGTTAATGTTTTATGAATGCTATTAGTATTTATTATATTTTTATTTTTCTGAGTATCTCTTAGCAATAAAAACAGAAAAAGAAAAGAAAAAACAAAAACCCATTGAAGCTTAATTTAGTATTGGTGTACTTAACTAGATTTCACTTGATGTTGGGTTAGGGCTTATTTTAATATGAATCAAGTCTTCTTATGAGTATACACTCTCACAATTACTTCTCAATCACTAGAGAACACAATTATATGATGATGTCACATAATCTTAAATTTAGGCTCATTTATAGTTAATATGGGGAATAGTTGTGGGAAGGAGTAAATTTGATCAAGGCCCGTGCTTCCATCATACCGACTACACTAATGAAGTCAGACTACTTGCATTTATTGTAACGTGCAGTAACCTTGTTTCGTCTTCTTTCATGTATCATTACTAGATCAAGATTGATGTTGATTCATTCACATGCGCAGGGCTTGTTGTCTATTAGATTTAGTGGTTTTGTGGTGTATAGCATGGTCACTATTAGCTCAAAGGTTTTAGAAATGAAAGACAAAGGCTTAGATGCATTGGAATTATCATCAATTGTTCATGAGTTAGTTTGACTAGAAAAAAATATGTTAGCCATATGTTTACTTTGGTTGGTTTAAATAGTTTAATACTAGGTGCAAAAATTAGTTCAATTTTCAAGGGCAAGATGGGTGGAATTACTTCATTGGATATTACCTAATAGCCATGATCAACTACTTATCAATGGCATGACATGGGAAATTTAACTTGATTGAAGTAAACTCCAGCCTGCCCCATTAATGGTGATTCTTAGGCATAGAAGATTTGGTTATATGTTTGGGCACTCTATAGTCTATAATAGACACGTGGCTCAGTTGGCCATCCTTAAGTATCGATCCCTTATTTAGACATGATTAAACCTCATTGTAGAGTATTCTATGTCGTTTCCATTGATCTTCTATTGATTGGATTTTTTAGTTAAGCTCAAGTTGAAAATTGCTCATCTTAAGGAAATGCCTTTGATGTGTAATATATTGTGGCCTACCTTAATGAGCGTGGGTTCACCCAAATTGACTAACTTTATGGTTGTTAGATTTACTCTATGATAGTCCAAATAAGGGTTTTATCTCATCAGTTGGCCCATTTAAATTGTGCTTGAAAAGTAGGGCTTATATTGTGATTTTTTTTTTGAACTTATCAATGAATATGATCTTGGGTTGGTATGTTAGTTTTCAAAAGCCAGAGCTCAACTGAGTTTTTTGGGCTTAATATTATAAACTTGCCCATATTTAACTGCCAGACTCAGTGTCCAATGAGTGTGAGTTGTGCCAAACTCAACTGATAGGCTCAGTAGTGTGGAAGTTGGTCTTAAGTTGTTATTTGGTGGGCTTAAATTATTGTTGTTATAAACTTGGATTTTTAATGTTGAGTTTACTATGTGTGATCTGGTAGAGACTCTATATGGTGGAGAATGACATGAATTTTGAGAGGCTAGGAGGTTCACTTTAACAACTATCATGGTGGGTTGCGACGTAATTATTGCAAGGAGGGAGAGGGGAGAGAAAGGAGATAGAGATTTTATACTTATATTGGTTGTTTCCTCTTTGGAATGATAATCAGTTTTTTTTTAATACATTGGGCAGGTTGTGGTAAGAACTTACGCATGTAGTGAGATTATTAGCGTCTATTCAAGAGGTTTTTTTATTTTTTTATTTGATTTTCTTTTTAATTTTGAACGTGATGGGTAGAAAACATGGTGAAGGGCTATGAGAAATATAAGTTGGGCAAGTCATAACTCATTGATGTGGCTACCATTTGAAGAAGACTGAGTTCATTCATGTGGGTGATGGTGCAATTTGATTATTTCAGGGATATCTGCAGGTATTAGGATCTACTCTTTTGTGGATGCAAATGCATGCTGTAGCTTATGGTAGTTATGTGGCTTTCAGGAGTTGGTTATAAATTTTTATTTGTAAATGCAGCAAAGTTTACAGGCTCGTGCACAATTCTCAGTTAACTATTACTGGAAATACTTTTGATGGGGATCTTCATGTTAATTGGTTTATATTTTTTTTTTTTATCTTGTAAAATTTATATTTTAGTATTTTTTAATATTCTTATGATTGTGCCTATGAGTAGGGTTTGGCTTTATCAGTCTATGATAGCTTTTGATTTGGAAAACTTTTGTTTAGTTTGATTTATACCTGGGACCCTGTTTTTATAAAGGAAAAGTGGTAATAGGGGCTGCTCCTATTGAATTCCACGAGATTTTAATGAGTGGTTTTCTCTTTACGGATTTAAATTAAATAAACTATGTTGATGATGGAGTTATTTATCTTGTAGTACTGAACATTATTGAATTATCTAATTTTGAAAGTACATAATTTTCTTAAAGTGGAGCCTCGGAAGGATAAGTTTTGATCCAAATTTTAATGGGTATCACCTCTTACGGTGTTATGTGGTTTCGTCTAACTGGGGTGTTTATGCGCTTCCTATTGCTTGAATGCAATAACTTCATTTTTTTTTGGGAAATTTACACATGCAGCACACAATTCTGATGTTCTCACATATCTCACACCTAAACTTTCAAATTTACATAAATGACACTTTGTTGCTTTAACCTATGCATGAAAAAGTGTATTTCACTTTTAAAAAGTGGTAATAGTGCTATATTTGGTGTGATATTAAAGATTTCAGTGCGATGTGTTTAAACATGAATGTTTAGTGTGAGATATGTAAATACCAAGGTTTTGAAAACCGGACCGAATATTGAACCAGTAAAGGAAGAGGTTCAAGGTTCAAAGGTTGAACCAGGGGTTCAACCGGATGAAATAATAAATAATAAATTTATTTAAAAACAACATAAATTATGTAATAATAATATAATTTATTCTTGAAGAAGTTTGTTACAATGAAAAATATGCATGTCCCACATCTCAAATAAAATAACACATAAAATAATAATAATAATTTATTTAGGAAAATATTAATCACAAAATAAAATTTCAATATTAATATCTTAATCTTATCTTCTTTAAGAAATTTATTTTTTGATTTTTAGTATATACTAAAAATGATATATTATTGAGAGTATTTCATGAAAAAAAATTTGTATGAATTTAATTAATTACAAAATTATTTTTTTTGTTTTATATATTAAATTGATTAATTATATAGTACAACAATAACAAGTTGTTATCTCACTAAGTGGGTTGGCTATATGGATCCTATTTTTTCATTTCGTTCTATTCATTTAATTCTAATAAATTAAGATCATTTTTTATACAATATGCCCAAGTATTTCTAGGTCTACCTCTGCCTTTCTCAACATAAGTTGAATCTAAAACATTTACTCTCCTATCCAGATCATCAATTAGTTGATGTTTAATGTGACCAAATCATCTAAAAGGACTCTCTCTAATTTTGTCCGCCATTAGAGCTACACCAACCCCCCATCACAAATATAATCATTTTGCATTTTGTCTCTGTGTGAAGCCAGCACCCACCTAAGCATTCTCATATCAACGACACTAAACTTAGTTTTATGCTTCTCTTTTAAAGGCAAATATTCAACGCCATAGAGCATTGCAGGTCTCACCACCATCTTATAAAATTTTCATTTCAATCTAAGCATTACTTTTCTATCTCACAATAGGGCCTAATCATTCCTCCATTTGAACCAACTAACTTGAATTCTACGAATAATATCCCCATCTATATCACCATCACTTTGAACAATAGAACTGAGATTTCTAAAACGTTTACACCTTTTAATAATTTGATCACCCATAGTTGATCACCCATAGTTACAACTCTGTCACTAGAGCTAATACTACTAAAATTATTTTCCATGTATTCGTTCATAGTTCAACTCAAATGAAGGCCTTTAGACTCCAATGTAGACCTCCATAGTTCAAGTTTTTCTTGAGTTTTTTCTCTAGTCTTATCTACAAGAAGGATATCTTCATCGAGAAGCATACACCAAGGTACATCTTCCTGTAAATGTCTATTAAGAGCATCCATAACTAAAGCAAAAGGGTATGAGCTTAAAGCCGATCCCTGATGTAATCCAACTGAAGTAGGAAAATACTTGGTCAATCCTACTTGGTCAATCCTCCTGTTTATCATCCTCTGTTTGAACAGAAGTAACTGCTCTAGTATACATATCTTTAATGACTTGATTATGTCATATCAACACCTTTCTTCTCTGGAACTCTCCAAAGGATATCTTTTGGAAGCTTATCGTAATCTTTTGCTAAATCAATAAAAATCATTTGTAGATCCTCTTTATTCTCTTTGTACTTCTTCATCAGACCTCTCAATAAATGTATAGCTTCCATGGTAGACCCGCACTACATAGATCCAAACTGATTATGAGAAATATTTGTAATACGTCTTAACCTATGTTAAATTACTCTCCCATAATTTTAAAGTATAGCACATCAAATTAATTTTTTTATAATTTGCACACTCTTGTGCATCCTTTTTATTCCTAAAAATGGTGATCAAAATACTCTTCCTCCACATCTCGGGCATCTTTTTAGTTTTTAAAATAATATTAAAGGAGTTTAGTAAGTCAAGAAATTCCCAAATCTCATAAATATTTCCACACCTCAATTGAGATATCATCAGGTCCTACAGACTTTCCACTCTTGGTTTTCTTTATAGCATCAATTTCTTTTTCACTAATGCGATGGTAAAAATAGAACATTTTATTATTATTATTAATGATATTAAGGTTACCAAGGTCTTTATTATTATTATTAATGATATTAAGGTTACCAAGGTCAATCATATTTTCAAAAACTTCATTAAAAAATTTATCAAAATAACTCATTAACCTATGTTAAAATCTTTTTCTAAGAAAAATACATTTTGATTTTCATCTGTAA